AAAAAAAAACCATTGCTTAGATATATCTCAAAAATAAGGAGATAGTTTTTTTTGTTATTCATTTAATGAACATGTTTATATATAAATTCAATTGTTATGTGTCAGATTCTTTTTGTTCTTGTCTTAAAATAGTAGATGTCTGTATATATATATGTATGTGCAGATAAGTTGAATAAATAAAATCAAAACAAAATTGTTTTTCTTCTTTTCAAATTTAATTTGAATAAATAAAAGAATATACACACGAATTATCGAGTGTATTTAGATATATATAAACAAAATGTCTATGACGGCTTTATTATTTGGTTTTGCAATGATTGATAATATTCTTTTATTATTGATTAATATTTATAATGTAAGTTTGAAAATATAATTTATACAAAATGTTTTCAATACATTCTATACAGATTATAACTTTATCTGATCTTGAAACTGATTTAATGAATGTTCGGCAATGTTGTACTAAACTTAATCAAGTAAATATCTATTAATTTGTATTTTATCAAAATATAATAATATTTTTGTTAGACGTTCCTACCTGAAATTGCATTACATGTTATGTTAACAGTTTTTTTCATATTCAGTCATCATTGGCTTTTATTTCTGCTCAATGTTTGTTTGGATCTTTGGTTTGCTTATGTGTAAATATCTTTGCCGATTTCATATGATTATCTTAATTTTATGTTTCTTCTAGATATTTTAAGCGTCAACCCGGTCAATTAGGTATCTATGATCCATTAGAAATCAATAATCGACAACGGATTAAAGCAAAGATGAGAGTAAGAATTAGATTGATTTTATACTATAAGTTATTTTCTTGATTGTATAGGAGTTTCTTATTCGATTACCATTCTATCTTATATGCTTTTTTATTTATCTCTTTTTGTAAGTATATTTTCTTGTGTTATACATTGAATTTGACATATTTCTTTCTATTAATTTTAGATTAATACAAGCATTGATTATATAAAAATAAATATATAAAACTAATTTCTTGTTTTAGATTAGATTAGTTTTCGATGTTTATTCTTCATGGTCGATATTTTGTTCATCGTCATATTCATCTCTTTAAACATTGTTACTCAACTTCAACTATTAAACCATTAAATGTTGCATTTTTTGGTTCTGACCTTTTTTCGATGCATATTCTTGAACATCTCTATCAACTATTTCTTAATGATAAATCAAGAATAAAATGTTTAGAAGTAGTAACAACTGTATCAACTCTAAATACTGTTATGCAAGGTGCTGAAAAACTTCAATTAACAACTCATGTTTGGCCAGATATTGATTCATTAATATCGAAATCGCCTGTTCAATTCGATGTAGGAATTCTTGCATCATTTGGTCAATTATTACCTAAACGATTGATCGAATCTTTTCCTTTGTAAATTAAAATTTATCGAACAATTTTGAAAATATACTTGTTTATTTAATGTTTCTAGAGGTATAATCAATGTTCATCCAAGTTTATTACCTCGATGGCGTGGTAGTTCTCCACTTATCTATACAATTGCTAGTGGAGATAAAACTAGTGGTGTTTCAATTATGGATATACGACCCAAACAGTGAGTAAGTGTGTATAAGAAAGTTTTTTTTTCTTATACATTCTGTTTTCTTTTTGTGTTAATCAATAGTTTTGATATTGGACCTGTATTAATGCAACAATCATTTCCATTATCAACGAATATGACTATGTTTGAATTATTAAAAATATCTGCAGATGTTGGATGTTCATTAGTAAATAGATATATAGTATTTTTCTAAAATTTTAATTATTATTTTAGTTAGATAAAGTTTTAGAAGATCCAATTAAATCACGAGAAAATGCTCAGGAACAAGTATTATCAGGGATTACATATGGTAATATAAAATAAATTATATTTAAGAAATAATTCTTATATTTCTATTAGCTCATAAAATAAATAAATATGGATATTATATCGATTGGCATAATCATACCACTGAAGATATTGATCGATTGTATCGAGCTCTTAATCAAATTGTATCTTTTAAAAATTATTTTAAGTTTAATTTTATTAATTCTCAATATCTTAGGCAAATCTACGAACTATGTTTCGTCAAAAACCTGTTCGTCTAAAATTACTAACATTAATTAATGATCAAAATATTCTCAATGATCTAAATGCAATATCATCACAACCTGGAACAGCAATTTATAATAAATCGCTTGAGTGTATATGTATTCGATGCAAAGTAACATAAAAAAAAATCAAAATGTTTTTTTTTATTATTAAAAATATGTTTAGGATGGTTGGATTGGATTTAAAAAGTTAGCTTATTTAAAATCAATGTATGCACGTGATTTTCAAAATGGATATATCAGTAAAATAGATCGATTTGTATTCGATTCAATACATAATTCATTATTTGATTATATTTATGAACGGCGTGTGCCTAAATAGATACATTTTGTTTTTGTTTTTTAAATAAAGTTACTTTAAACTGTGATTGAGAATGAAAGTTCAATTAATTCAAACAATATCAATTCAGATTAACATTCTAATACGATGTAAAAAGATATTGCTGATTGTAAGTACTATGATACGTGCAGTATTCATATTATATCGAACTTTTGTTTTGGAAAAAATGTATGAGTTTATGATATAGAATGTGACTGAAAATACTCCACGTTCGTTATCTCAGATTAATTATTGGATAAACACACTCTTTTTTCACACACGACAACACAAATATAGACAATTATGGAATAGTGTCTTGTCTTTGAGATCTTTAAAAAAAATTAGAAAACAAATCAAGTATTTTTTTGAAGGTTTTCTGTAGCTTTACTTAAGCTCGACCGTTCATAACTTTAATGATTATCTCATAAGATTTTCTCACTATTTTTGACTATTGAAAACTATAATTATTATTTAAGTTCAATCCAAATTCATCTACAAAGCCTAGGACGTAAGTACTAATATTTAAATTGTCTTTTCATTGAGTGCAAGTAATGTTCAATGAACTGAAAAAGTAATTTATTTTTACCAAGCATCCATTGTAAGATTCTATTATAACCTTGTATGTATATTGTATGAATTTAAAATATAACTTCGTAATTTTAAAATATTTCTTTTTATTCTATTTAATTAGTACCGGATGAAAAGGTAACAGTCGATATTATTAGAACAGACGATGGTTTATGTTCATCTTTTTTTTATTTAAACGAGTTTTTTT